TCCAATCCAGTGGTGAAAGCATTGTCTTTCATCACTAAATACAACCTTAGCTGTAGATCTTACATAGATGCCTTCTTTTCAGGTTAGAGAAATTCCTTTCTGTTCTATTTTTAGTTTTGCTCAGTTTTTATTAGGAATGGATGCTAGTTTTTGTCAAAAGTTTTTTCTGTACCTGTTGATATGATCATGTTTGTTTTAGTCTGATAACATGGTGAACTGATATTTACATGTTAAACCAATATTGTATTACTGGGATAAACTCCAGCTGGATGTGTCAAGAGCCCCAGTAGATGCCTCAAACCACAGATTACACCAAACCCTATAAACACTATGTTTATTTCACACACACACACACACACACACACCTATGATAAAAGGTTATTAGAATAGAACAAAAACAATATACTGTAATAAAAGTTATGTGAATGTGGTCTCTTTCTAATATCTTCTTATGCTGCACTCACCCTTCTTTTTGTTATGATGTGAGATTATAAAATTTGGACCACAGTTAACCATGGGTAACTGCAACTGTGAAAAGCAAAACCAGAGATAAGAAAGTGTGCTATCGCTTCTATTTTCTGGAAGAGTTTGTATGGAACTGGTACTGTTTCTTTCTTTTTTTCATGTTTGGCAGAATTTTCCAATTAAGTCTTCTAGATGTTTTCTTTATAAAAACTGCAAATTCAATTTCTTTAATAGATATAGTGGATGTTCAGTTAGCTCCAACATATAAACAGCCTGCAAGTCATCACTCCCGTGTTTACACAAAAAAGGTAAGGAAATAGAAAAATCAACAATTCTTTTGAACCCATCAGAAAACTGAGATCTCAGCGTAAACCAGCACTCGAAAATCTGGAGAGAGAGGAGAATCAGCAGAGTCACAGCTGAGATTTGCTTACCTGGAGTGGAAGCGGCTGGAGCCATAAACTGGTAGTGACACTTAAATGCTAATGGTGACAAACTGCTGGAGTCTGACTATGGACTAGTGTAAGAGTGAGAAATACTGTCTTCATTGTAAAATACATCCAGAATGTTCTCCATAACAAAGGCCTCTCTCCAAGGAAAAAGATTTTACCAAGGCCTGATCCCAACTGGGGAAAGGTACCTTTCCTCTCCAGCCACCTTCTAGCTTCCTTGTCTTTCCTAAGGGGGGAAAAATTAAAAAAAAAAAAAAAAAAAAAAGTGCTCCGTCTCTTAATCTCATGATCTGCCCGCCTCAGCCTCCCAAAGTGCTGGGATTACAGGTGTCAGCCACCATGTCTGGCCTAATTTTTTTCCTTTCTATGGAGTCATTCTTAATACAAACATGCAGTTACAGTCTCCATTGTAAGAAAAAAAAAGAAAAATACCTTCTCTTTTCCCCACATCCTCCTTAGGTTATCATCCCATTGCTCTACAATATCTGTGTTCTCAATGCTGTGTCTACTTCCTTATCTTCTGTTCTGTACAATCCACTCCATTCAGGTGTTCACTCTTATTTCATCTTGAAATTATTTTTATCAAGGTCACCAGCAAGTTCCACCTCTCCACACACAACTATCAATTAACCCTCCTCTTCTTACCCATTATCCCGCAGCATTTGGCATCCTTTCCCCACCGCCTGTCAAGCCACAACACTCCTTTGGTTTTCCTTCCTTCTTCACTGGCTTCTTCTCTCCTCTCCAACCTTTCAATTGAGTGCCCCCAGGATTCAGTCCTCAGCTATCACCTATCTATATCCATTACCCCATGCCCTTCATCCACTTTTAAATTTTGTTTTGTGTTTTTTGAGATGGAGTTTCCCTCTTGTTGCCCAGTGCAATGGCGCAGTCTCTGCTCACCACAACCTCTGGTTCCTGGGTTCAAGCGAGTTCAGCCTCCCGAGTAGTTGGGACTGCAGGCATGTGCCACCATGGCTGGCTAATTTTGTATTTTTAGTAGAGACAGGGTTTCCCCATGTTGGTCAGGCTGGTCTTGAACTCCTGACCTCAGATGATCTGCCCGCCTCAGCCTCCCAAAGTGCTGGGATTACAGGCATGAGCCACCGCACCCAGCCCATCCACTTCTAAATTTTAAGCATCATCTTAGTAGTCAAGAGATTCTATATTATTCCATAATTTGTAGTGGCCTTAAAATAATACTGATGTGTTTTAATCTGTGCAGTTAGATTATATGTTTTCCAAGGACAAAGATCCTCACCATCTTGTTCTTTACCATCCTTTTGAAGTGTCTAAGCAGTATTCTGTGCATGGTAAGTCCCAAATAAGCACTGTAAACTCCATTGGATTTTGTACAAGCTCTTAAAAATGTATGGTTTAACAAGTAGGTAGAAGCAGGATTTACAGTGATCTACACTGAGGCAGAAAGTACCACTTATAAATTAATTGAGCATTAAAGCTAGGATCTGCTTGGGGCTCATAATCTATTACGGTCACCTTAGAATGTACCTAATTCTGGGACAGGTTATGACCTGTCCAGTGGTTCCTTCTATTCAGCATTTTCAAAGAGGTGAAAGTAAAATATGCACTTCTTTCCATTAGGGGTTTCTCATGTGCTGAGGCTGGTCACAGGGAAATCTCCATTCCAACTAAATGTCAAACAAGTAACAAATTAGAACCAAACTCCAGTGTTTAAGGGCCAATGAAATTATACAAGAATCTGGGCTGATATCTGCGGGAGGCCCACCTCTTCCAAAGGTTTACAGGTTAGAAGCAAAGAGCCCCTAGAACCTGAGAACATTTCATCCAATCTCATCATCAACATAGCCTGGAACAGCCTCATTTCAAGCCAGAGTGAACCAGCAACGAATGGTTTTGAGTTTCATATCATAATCCCCTATGTATCCTGTCTGACGGCGAGGGCCAAGCTCAACCCTTTAGCTGCACTGTCTCCTCCCCAAGGGAAAGAAGGACAAAAGGACTTGACAGGCTACTCAGAATCACCAGGTAAAAACTAAATGGTACTCTTCCCTTCACTGAACTCCAATCCTCAGCCACTTTTATGCAATGTTCTTTAAATTCACAATTTTACAATTAGGAGATTTTGCAAAGCAAGCTTCCAAGATCTTTGAGGATTCTCCCAGGTTGGTGTAAGATACCTGAAGGGAATGCTCTGCACCAAACTGTTCCTAAACACACAGATATGAAATAAGCCCTATGAGTTTTAAATCAGATAAAGAATTTTTCTTTGAAAAAAGACTCTGAACTAATCAGTCGTAAACAACAGAATGTACACCCAAGTTTCATAAGGAGACAAAACACCGTAGTAACAGACACTAAAGGATACACTATTCCACAGAAGAGGAAACACCAGGAATGAGTAGTACCGAACAATCTTTTTATTGTTCACTGAAAAATGCAGGTCTGCAAAGAGTCCACTGCACTGTATATTGAATGCAAGGTCTGATATTGCAAGTATATATGACATAGTATAACATATAAGATATTACACATTTTACATAGTGACAGTATCCGCCTCTTCTAAATGCTAAAATTTAATAAACTGAAATAAAAAGCCTCCTAAAGAAACAAACATTGCAATCATAAACAAAATGCACTAAGCAGAGTACTTTAAAATTGTTTTGTGTGACGTCTATCTTGTCTACCTGGAGTTAGGAATGGTGGAGCCCAGAAAAAACTCAGCTAATAGAAACAGCCAACACCCTCAAGGAACTCTTCCCGGGAAGCAGGCCGCTGATGCCTGCCACAGGCTGCCACCCTGTTTGGAGGCCAGGCAGGCTTCAGTGCTGCCTGAGGGCCCACACTGAATGCTAAGGCCTGTCTGGGGCTGGGTTGAGGTGAGTGGGAGGAGCACCAGGAAGGAAGAAGCTTCTGTCATACTGCTTACTGTGCATCCACTCTATGGAGAGGAACACCCAGTGTTTCTGGTGTGAATCTGCCACTCTCCACAAACACTGAAATGTGATTGAGAAGAAAATGTTAACAGTGGGAACAAAAGCCATTTTCTATGCAGTGTGCAGTTATCATTGTTAATTCCTTTCAGCCATGTTTTCATTAAAATGCTCTAAAAGAGGCTGCTGCTACTGTACTGCCAGCCAGGCTGGCGGGCCACGATAGAGGTAACAAAACTTCTCCAGTTGTAACTACTAATTCAAATGAATTAAAAATAAATATAGCATATACTAGAGAGCAACACAGTCTCTTATTATCTACATGGTAATATGTTCAAGAATTGCAAAAATATTCACAATTCCCCAAGGTCAACTTTATATCTACATTTCCCTCCAAGCAGAAAATCCTGAAGGGAAGGGAATGTATAGTATCAACGCCTCCTGTTCATCTCACATATAATCAGGGCTCAGAAACTCATTATAGATAACAAATGCAAAAAAAAAGCATTTCAATATATACACAGCAACAGAGGAAGACTACGCCCTCCCTCCGTGCTTCCTTGGCATAAGGCAAAGCATGGCTATTTGCAACAACAGTGTCTAAGCTGACTCTGCAAAGGCTCATGTTTTAGGAGAAATCAGAATTACAAAGTTCCTTCATTCACAGGTAACAAAGGATTATTAAATAAAGACCACAGTCTCACCATCCAATAAAATTTTCTTCTCATCTGAGTTATGGGATTTTACAATATCCAGCTTTTTCAGTTAATATGAAACTATCAGCATGCAGAGAACATCCTCAAAGCTCAAGATGAGTAAAGCTAATATTCTCAGATTTTCCACTCTATGTATCAGCAACTATTTTATCAGAATATCCATTAACAGAGTTTTAAGTCCATAATAACCAACTATGTATTTTTCTTATTCAAAGAACACCATGTTTTGATAAGAATAATCCCAGTTTGATGAGTATCTTATTCCCCTTGATGCTGCACCCTAAATGTCACTGTGCAGTCTCTCTACCCTTGACTCTTTCAGTCAAAGGAAAATCTCGTGTAAAGCTGGAGAACTGCAAACTTCAGCAGAAGCACTGGTGTTAGTACTGAAGCAAACTGCAGGGGAATAACCACAGTTGCTTATCAGACTGTTTACAGCATTGCTGGAAGACCTCCTCTTCTTTATCTCTATTAGACTGGGACATTCTAATATTTTAAACATGAGGGTTCACTGATATTGATAAAGGTCTAGTTCAAGGTTTTAGCCTCTGGAATGATGTGTGGCTAGCCCAAAACCCTGGCTATGTTTGTTTTAAACATGTTCATTCTTCTTCCCACCACAATCTGTTAAACCCAGCCATCTGTCCTGCCACTGTCACGCCCCCAGCCCCTCAGCATTGCTGCTCTTCTCTTTTGAATGTTCTACTGCATGTATGGTATTCACTGAGACATCACTTTAATGTATAGGTCATTTGCATTTCACGCTACCAGCTCCCCAAAAGACATCAACTGGGAACAATTTCTAATAGTAAAGGCACGATTTGCTGGCATTCTCCCTTTATAAAGGAAATCAAAGCAGTTATCTGGAAGCTGAAAGAACACCTTGGGTATTCCTGTAAAGGGAATGCTGTATCTAGTACCAAAACCCAGAGACATTGACTAGATATGAAGATCATAAGGATTATGTAATAGTGTGAGATTCGGCAGTTTAAGATCTAGTTCCAACTTTACATTAAACCATTTGGATGAAAGTGTTTGTTAGTATCACATGAACAAATGAAAACCATCAACAACCCCCTTTTGGCTCATATCCTCCTGCTTCTAATTGTACTTCCACCAGCTCCAGTGAAGCCTGTCCCAGGACACACCACTCAGCTCCGCTGCTCAGAGATAAAAGAATGCATTTCACCTCAACCAGCACAGCAACTGGCACTCAGATGGTCAACGCTGCCGCCAACGGCCTTGGGGCAAAGCCCATTGAAAAGCTTTAAACAGGGGAAGGAATTATAGACATTGCATAAAAATTCTTGATTTTAGAATAACTTCCCCAGGAGGTTGAAAACAGTCATTTTTAGTGAATAAAATGTAATCTATACTCAAAAACAATGTAATGCCTCAGAAGGCAAAACCCAGAATTGAAGAACTTCAGAAAAATACGACTTCATCAGTATCTGACTTTGGCTAAATTATGATAGTCAGTGTAATTTATTATTGGATTTAGAAGCACAGCCTACCGTGTTCTCTAAGATGGTGAAGTACACAAAAACACTTAACAGGGGTGATAGCCCTTTAGCCTCTTGTGACTTCAGAACTGAGAGAGATAAAAGTTAACCAGGATTTGACATTCAGATACTTACTTGCTCAGCACAAGTTGAGTTAGGAGACAGTTAAACAGACTCATTCACTTATGGCGTTCTCAGGAAGCTCCTATTTGGATACCAAACCAGTGGTTCTCTGCCTGGCTGCACATCGGAATCACCTGGGAAGCTTTTAAAACTCAACCTCGTGCCCAGGCCAATTAACTCTGGAGGGTGGAGTCCAGAACCAGAAGCTTTACATTGCCCCAGGTGATCCTCGTGCAGCCAGGACGTGCACCACTGAGGCATCCTTTTCGGAGAGTGGTTGCGAGAAAGCCAAGTGAATGGAACTCGTATCTGGATAGTTTTTTTCTCAATTCCACCAGAAAAAGGGATTTTTAGAAAAAGGCACAGTTGTGCTTCCTCTAAAGATGTAGTCCGCAGTTTGGGAAGCTCTGGTTCCCAGAGGTTATCTGGAGCGCTGGTTGTAAAGAAGAAAGTCCTTGTCTTGGCAGAGTAGGCAGAGTTTCAGGCTTCGGCAGCTGCCTCCCGCAACAAAGAATGCCCAGATGCCCATGAGCACCAGGATTATAAATGCCGACCCCAGGTTTATTCCATAATGAGGACTTATGAAGGTCTGCAAAAGAAAAATAAATCAGCTTGGCTAATAACAGCAGGCTTATTAAACGTGGAATAACCAAAGATAAAGGGAAGCATGAAATACTTTCAAGAACTTGGGTGTGTTTCAACACACGTGTGTCATGTGTTATGGACCCGAGACATGTAGAACTAAGCTGGTCAACAGGCACTGTGGGTCCCGTGCTTTGCTGTATTCAAATGGTAACCTTAGAAGGCAGTCATTAGGCAGAACCTAATGGAATACACAATACAAGATGCATGTCACATAACCAGTTTTCTATTCATTTCTATGTTAAATTGGTTCTTAAAATTTGCAAGAAAGTGAGACAAGTCCAAATTCCTTTAGTATGAATCCTTGGTACTCAAGGGAACATAAGGGAATAGTCTTTTTCAGTTGAGCAACAGCTGTGGGTTCCAAAGGTGTATTCATTTAAAGAACACTAACAGAACGCCAAGACATACTGTGTACACCATGGTGAAGACCAAAGTCTCTACCTAATGGAGCTGCTGTACTAGCGAGGGAGGCCGGAAATGAATGAAGAAACAACTTAATTAGTTACAAGTTGTGATGAATGCTATGACAGCATAATTATCATTGTGATGAGGCTAGGATGGGTAAAAACAAGGTGATCTCCTTAGGGTGGTCAAGGAAGGTCCCAAGAAAGTGGTCGATTTTACAGTTAGTGCCTTATGCAGAAAGAATGTTCTTCTCAAGAGGCCTCTGTGGGCATGGCAGGCATTGAGCATTGTCTGGATTACTCTTCACAATAATTCTATACTTCAAATCTACTGAATTTTCATTATATAGAGTGCTACACTCTTTTGTGTTGTTCTTAAAATTTTTTTTCTCTTTTAAACAATTACAAAAGCAATACATGATTGTTGTAGAAAATTAGAACACAAAAATGAGAAAAATAGAACAAATTTTAAAACTTGAAATTCAGCTAGGTTAACATTTATTTTAAAAGCTCAAAAAGTAAAAGCATAAAGAGAAAAATTGATGAGACTATATAAAATTAAGAACTTTTGTTCATCAAAAGACATTAAGAGAATATAAAGACAAACCACACCATCAAAGTTATTTGCAATACACACATCTGACAAAAGACTTTTTTTAAACAGAAAACATAAAGACCTCCTAAAAATCAAAAATAAAAAGATAACCCAATAGATAGGCATAAGATTCAAACAGCCACTTCAGAAAGAATTATCCGAATGGCCAATGAAGACTTGCTCAACCTCATCAGGGAAATGTAAATTAAAGCTTTTACTATGATTTATTAATTTATGCATTTATGATACCATGACATACCCAGCAGGATGGCTGACAATAAAGAGAATGTTGTGAGGAGGTGCAGGAACCACAACTTGTAAATTAATGGCAGAGTGTAAGGCGATACAAACACTTTGAAAATTGAGTGGTATGAAGAGTCGACATGAGTACACTCCACGACCCAGCAGTCCCACTCCTAGGCATATAGCCAAAAGAAATGCATGTGTGTGCATGTTCACCAAGAGATATACATCAGAACATTCACAGCAGTACTATTCACAGTCGTTAAAAATGAGAAGGCCAGGTACGGTGGCTCACACTTGTAATCCCAACACTTTGAGGGGCTGAGGCAGGAGGATTGCTTGAGCCCAGGAGTTTGAGACAAGCCTGAGCAACATAGTGAGAGCTCATCTTTACAGAAAATTTAAAAATTAAAATTAGCCAAGAATGATGGTGCATGCCCGTAGTCCCAGCTACTTGGGAGGGTGAGGTGGAAGAATCACTTGAGTCCGGGAGGTTGAGGCTGCAATGAGCCGTGATTGTGCTACTGCACTCCAGCCTGGGCCACAGGGTGAGACTCCATCTCAAACGAGAAACATCATCAATGCCTCACTGCTGTAGAATGGGTAAATTATGGTATAGACACACGGTAGAATACTATGCAGCAATGAGTGAGCCATTCAAGTCTGACAACTATCTTTCACACTGCTGATAGGAAAACAGTCTAGCATTAAAAATTAAAGGAAAACAGTTTAGCATTAAAAATTAAAGGGGAATTTGCATTCTCTATTTCACTCCAGCAATTCTGCAGCCAGAGCTACACTCTGAAGCAATTAGTTCTGAAAATAATAGATCGCCTGCACCTGGGAACTTGTTAGAAATCCACTAGTGATGTAAAGATGAATCATACAAATATGCTGAGCAAGCGGAGCCAGACACAAGGGCAAATGTTGTGCAGCTCCGTTTATAGATATACCAAAAGGTAGCACCGAGCTGTGGTGCTGGAAGTTAGAATCACAGTCACCCTTAGTGGGGACAGTGACTAGTGGAATAAAGAGGCTCCTGGGGGCTGAGAATGTTCTGATTGTCATCTAGGTGCTAGTTACACAGGTGTGTTCACATTGTGAACATTCATCAAGGTGTATACTTTTGATTTGTATGCTTTTCTGTAGGTGTGTTATTTTAATAAAACAATTATGTAATCATTTTCTGAAATCTGCCATTGAGAGAGAACTACTATTAACATTTTGGTAGATACTTTTCAAACTTCCTAGGTTCTTTCCTGGAGTCTGACTCTGTCACCCAGGCTGGAGAGCAGTTGTGCGACCTCGGCTCACTCCAACCTCCACCTCCCGGGTTCAAGCGATTCTCTTCCTCAGCCTCCCGAATAGCTGGAATTACAGGTGCCCGTCACCATGCCCGGCTAATTTTTGTGTGTGTATATATATATATTTGAGTAGAGACAGGGTTTCACTATCTTGGCCAAGCTGGTCTTAAACTCCTGACCTCATGATCCACTCACCTCAGCCTCCCAAACTGCTGGGATTATAGGCGTGAGTCACCACACCCAGCCAATTCTTTCCTTTTAATCATTAAAAAGAGTATTATCTACCTTCAGCCAAAAAAGGAAAAAGAATATTATCAACTATTAATATTTACCAACATTTACTGGCCACCTACTATGTGCCACGAATTGAAGATACAAAGATTGGCAAGATAAGGCCCCATCTTTGATTATCAAACTCTAGTTAGAAAGAGAGACAAAAACTTTATTAAATAAAATATGCTAGCCAAGGATATGTGTTATACAAGGGCTAAGAATAAGGTCTAGTGATAGTGCTGAGTCTAAAACATGCAACTCTTCCATGTAGCTGTCATAGAGAATAAAGTTTTTCAAACTGACCGAGGTTACGGAAAGACAAATCACTGCAAATAAACAGGGGAAAAAATCTTTTAATAAGATCTACCAAAAAATTAAAAGTGATGGTCTTTCTCTGGTAAGAGATGACTCATTCATTCACTTGAATAGATTTTCTGAATTTCCCCACCGTCTCATGAGCGTGTATTTCACCCAGAATAGAATTTAGCATTTTAGATACATAGACTTGAGTTCCAAAATACAGTCTGTGCATGGCGGCAACACTCACCTGGGCTGATACCAGCAGATGGGTCAGGAGAACTATAAGGAGGATGTACCACTTTTTCCTCTCACAGCCATCAAAAAAGACAATGCCCCAGAACACATGCAGCAGGATGATGACCAGCGTCATGAAAGCTGAAAGACAGTCAACTATGAGTGTCACTCCCACAGACACCATAGCCACCAAGCCCCCTTGTACTGTGCTTGGGCTCTCAGAATGTCCACTGCACCTCAGACAGAGAGTTTACCACCACCTGACAGGAAAAGGACCTTGACACATGTTTGCCCATTCAAAAAGCAACACTGCTGAACAGGAGGCTGCTCTGCCACAGCTTCTTGTCTAGAATATGAATCTGTTTAACCATAGGTCAACTGAGATCTGGCTTTCAGGCAGCTTTCCTAAGGAATGCAATAAAATTATTGTGATGTCCAGCCAGCTTTTTCCCAATTAGCCTTCTGCCCTAGTAAAGAGAGACTTCAATGAAAAGGAATACCTTCTGTTTAAACAAGGCTCCTCGCTAAAGTGGAATTTTTCCTTGTATCCTTTTGAAAAAGGCCAATGGGAAAATATTTACAATCACAGCCAGGCACAGTGGCTCATGCCTGTAATCCCAGCACTTTGGGAGGCTAAGGTGGGCAGATTACTTGAGATCAGGAGTTTGAGACCGGCCTGGCCAACATGGTGAAACCCCATCTCTACTAAAAATACAAAAATTAATCGGGCACGGTGGCATGTGCCTGTAATCCCAGCTATTTGAGAGGCTGAGGCAGGAGAATCACTTGAAGCCAGGAGGCAGAGATTGCAGTGAGCCGAGATCACACCATTGCACTCCAGTCTGGGCAACAGAGCAAGACTCCATCTCAAAACAAAACAGAAAAGAAAAATATTTAAAATCACAATAATCGCTCCCCCCACCTGGCTCACCGGCCAGCGCCAGGCAAGGGGCGACGCCTCGAGGTAAAAAGGAGGAGGTGTGGGACACGGAGCCTGCGTGAGCCCTGTAGCCCTGGAGAGGCCGAGGCTCTAGGCTGTGTCTAGTGGGCGAGTGCCATGACGCATGAACAGGTGAGCTGCAGCGCCGACCTGGCCACCGACTGTAAGGTCCCGGAGACTACAGAATCTACGGCTTCCTCAGTGGGGAACTGCGAAGCCGCCGCTAAGTCACCGGAGCTGGAGCCCAGAGACAATGACAGCACCTGTGTGTTCTGCCGGATCGCAGGGCGGCAGGACCCGGGCACCGAACTCCTGCACTGCGAGAATGAGGACCTAGTTTGCTTCAAAGATATCAAACCAGCTGGGCACGGTGGCTCACGCCTGTAATCCTAGCACTTTGGGAGGCTGAGGTGGGTGGATCACCTGAGGTCAGGAGTTCAAGACCAGCCTGGCCATCATAATGAAACACCATCTTTTTTTTAAAAAAAATTAACAACAACAACAAAAAAACAAAGATATCAAACCAGCAGCAACTCATCATTATCTTATGGTGCCAAAGAAGCATATTGGAAATTGCAGATCTCTAAGGAAAGATCAAGTAGAACTGGTTAAGAACATAGTAACTGTTGGAAAAACCATTCTTGAAGGGAATAATTTCACTGACTTCATGAATGTAATGATGGGTTTTCATATGCCTCCGTTCTGTTCCATTTCCCACTTGCACCTCTGGCACCAGTGGATCAGCTTGGCTTCTTATCCAAGTTGGTTTATAGAGTCAATTCCTATTGGTTTATCACAGCTGATCATTTGATTGAAAAACTAAGAACATGAAAATGTCAACAGTGGAAGATTTTTCTAATTTTGGCTCAGCATGAAGTAATGTTTAGGTCCCTTTTAAGTCTAATTGCAATTTTAAGGTTTGTTGGGTTTTATGAGAGGCTATTACTGAGTGGCCTTAAATATTTTCTGAATGTCTGTTTCCTGAGATCTGTGATACAGTTATAATAATATTTTTTTACTGACTTCTTTGTTTCAATGATTACTTGTTTAAGGATTTTATATATATGATACTATAGATAAAATCCTATTTAAGACAAAGTCTGTTAATCAAGAAGGGCTCTGTATTTTTTTTTAAGTTAAAATGTTTTCATTTCTCAGTAGTCAATTATAATAGTGATGTATTTATGAAGAATAAACTACTATAGAAAGTACTTTATTGGAACCTTCATTACTGTGAAGGAGAAAAAGAACTTAGCTATTTCTTGACAGTTCTATAGTTTTACACATACATTTTCAAAATAAAGAATACCATACTACACAATAATCTCTGATCTTGCTGAAGGAATTATATATGTGCCACTTTTTCCTCAAATTTCAGATGCCAGTTTTCACTTCTTGAAGCCTTGACTCTTTTTAATAAATCTGTTCTGAAAGCTATATAATATATATAATTTCTATCAGTGAATTTACAACAACTATCAAATTGGCTATCAGAATTTACTTAATGGAATTTTGCCTATAATAACATAAACAGGCAAGAAACATAAAGTGGTTCTCTCAATAAAACTAGCAGAAACTTGCTTTATGGTATGTTTTTGTATCAAAGAGAAATCAGAATAAAAAGCAGTTAAACTTTGCTTTTACTATGAAAAAGTCCTGATTCAAAAGTAGAGATGAGCTTAGATAAGAAAATTGATAACACAAAGCTTGAACATATCATTTTATGAGGCATATTTTGTTAGAAATTGTTTTTTTGGTGCTAATCTGCAGTCACAATAGTGAATATGAAGAATACGAATGAATGTTAATCCTACATTGTGCCAGTGTATAACAGTACCATATAGCCGGGCACGGTGGCTCACGCCTGTAATCCCAGCACTTTGGGAGGCTGAGGTGGGTGGATCACGAGGTCAAGAGATCGAGACCATCCTGGTCAACATGGTGAAACCCCGTCTCTACTAAAAATACAAAAAATCAGCTGGGCATGGTGGCGTGTGCCTGTAATCCCAGCTACTCAGGAGGCTGAGGCAGGAGAATTGCCTGAACCTAGGACGCGGAGGTTGCAGTGAGCCGAGATTGCACCATTGCACTCCAGTCTGGGTAACAAGAGTGAAACTCCGTCTCAAAAAAAAAAAAAAAAAAAATAGTACCATATATGTGAATATGAATAAATGAACATGAGGATTAATGTATTGTTGAAAATAGGCTGAGATACTAGTTTTCTTTTTTAGAGGGGGCATGTATTAAACACAGTTTTAAGTAACAAATTACTTATTACAAAGTTACAACATGTAGAATCAATACTGTTTCATTTGTTCATTAATTTATTCATTCAGCAAACATTTGTTGGGCATTTAATGTGTACCAGACCTTGCCAGGATCAGGAAATAATGAAATGAAAACAGACAATTCAGCCTGCAATTGCTAGTACAGGGGTCAAACAAAGTCAATGATTAGAATTTAGTGTGTTAAGTGTTATGATACCCACAGAAGAGGCAGTGAAGGGAGAAACACTTCTGAGAATGGGTAGTAGTAGAACTGAGTATTTAAGACTGAATGTTAGGCCGGTAGACAGTGACTGGTTAGGCTGAGAAACCCACATGTATTTTCCTTGAGTTCTGCTTCCATTGTTATTTACTTTACAATAGATGTGAATGTCCAGATTTCATCTTATTTGCTGAAGGCAGGGAAAGGATGTGGAAGCAGGGGTTATGGGTTCTCAAAAGTGGATTTAAAGATTTTTTTATCGCCATTTTGTGATACAGTTCACTGAGCACTTACATAGTTTAACAGTTACAAGTTTCCATAAATCAGTTAGAATACAGTCATATTCTATTCTAAATCAGTTAGAATACAGTCAGCTTCAGGGAAGGAATTTTCAACAAGTGCAACCTTTGATTGTTTTACTATGGGAACCTGCAGTGGTATAACTGACAACATCATAACAATAACAGGTAAAGTATTTCAGGAACTCCCAAATGCCTTGTGGACCTCTTCGAAAATGTGGTTAGCCAATTGATTCAACTTTTATAGCTTTATATGCTCTCATATAAACCAATTTTAAAAACCCTTAGAAACACATTTTTTAGTAGAGGTTCTCACTTACTTATAAAGATTAATAATCAAATTGCTACAATTAATATCCATTTGGCCTTTTCAGTAGTCTAAATATCTAGCCATCTGTAACACTAGTTCATCTAGCCAATTCCAAACAAGCCTAATTCATAACCTGTCTTATAAATGTTTGAAGTAGTGTCAAGAACATTGTTTATGCATGTTGTGACACTGTTTGTGGAACTGTAAAATTATTGTCATAAGTATTTCAAACTGTGCTTACTTAGCTAGAAGAAAATGAAATAAAAATGAAAAAATACTGTCAAAAAATCACAATAATCATCTACGATGCTTCTTAAGCAACTGGCATTTAATTTTATCAGCACCACCACGCTTTTCTAGGGAACACTACCTCTGTGTGTGTGTTGTGTCTGTGTATCCTGTGTGCTGGATAATAGTCTTTATTAAGTGGGCAAGCCCTATATAGTCTGCAAAGTTTAACATAATAAAAAAAAAGGCATCTAGATTTCCTCTTTCAGCCACCTAATAAGAAACTATAACACCCAACAGACTGGCAAAAATTCAAGTCTGACAACTCTCTTTCATACTGCTGATAGGAAAACAGTCTAGCATTACAAATTAAAGTGGAATTTGCATTCTCTATTTCACTCCAGCAATTCTGCAGCTAGAGCTACACTCTGAAGCAATTAGTTCTGAAATTAATAGATCACCTGCACCTGGGAACTTGTCAGAAACTCAAATTATGGGGACCTACCCCACACTTCCTGAATCAGAAACAGTGGGGTGGGAGCCTAGCAATCTGTGTTTAAACAGCCCTCCAGGTGATTCTGATGCATGGTCAAGCTTCAGAATCACTGCTCTAGAGAAGTGTACACATCTGCATAAGGAGCATATGCTAAGCTTATGTCAGCACTGTCTGTAATAATGAAATATGTCCATCATTACCAGAATGGACAAATAAATCATGCTCTATTCATACAATGGAATACTATATGGTCTACAATATAAATGATCTCAAGAATCTAATGTTATGTAGAAAAGAAAACCATAATGTGAAAAAATACCTATTATTTCATTGATATGAAGTCTAAAACATGCAAAACAATATTTAAAAGATGTAACTCTT